CTCCCCCCCCCCCCCCTTACAATCCTGCCCAAGATGTAGGGCAACAAGTGCCCTGTGTTTGGACTTGGGCATATTTTCGCGAATGCCTTTTATCGGACTTAGTTATTTGGGCTTTCCTTTACAAGTCTCCATTACATCCTATGTAGACTCGGGGTAAATGCTTTCATTTGTGTCCAAGTCAGTTAGCAATGGCTAAGGGTGTGCTGTGACTATTTTGGAAGCACCGGCTTGGTAGTTTTTGTTGACATTTTGTACAATAAGACCGGGTGCTGGTTGAAGAATATGAAAACAATAATTTTCTCTGGTTGAATACACTTTGCACATTGCCATTGCTCTCCGCACTGTTCTTGAAGGAGATGGCGAGTAGAGAATGCAGTAGAAATATTTTTTGCACTAGACATACTGTCAGAGTTGACTAATTGGCAAAGAACCAAAATGTCTTCATGAGATTGTCTAGACTTGAGGGTCAGTCTCTGTGATCTAAAAGCACATTTTAACTTTTGATCTTTCCCTTTCCGCTTTGTTTAGGCCCACCAGACTGGAGATCCCAGCTGTTCTGTTATGTAATCCAGCCACTCAAGTGTAACATCAAGAAGACTGCTCTTAAGTCCTAGTGGAGACTGAAGATTTCACTTTCAGTTTTTTTTTTCTTGTTTTGCATTTGGGAAGATGCCTTTTTTTTACTGCTTCTCATAGATTTGTCATCTCACGTAGAAGAATAAAGGAGTGTGGTCTGGAGGAGAGTGTCTGTCTAATTTAGTCCACAAATGAAGGACTCTGCACAGTTTTGCACAGGTTTTGAAGTTGCACTAATTTGACTTGGGAGATGGTTGTATTTTTTTTGTTTTTTTAATAAAGTTCTTCCTTTTTGCAGCACCTGTTCATAACATCTTGAAGGAAACGTTATAGCACTCTATATTGGCTAACTTTTTTTATATTTTCTTTTTCTATTTATAGCTGTAAAATATAAATAAAACCGTAAATATTTCTTAAACCAGACAAAATAAATAGCTTTGTTTTGCACTAAAATGGTTGATTTGGTAATCCCTTAATCATAATTAAGCGAATAGATCCAGGGTATTCTACTGTATGGCAGATCTGTAGTGTCATGTGGCCTTCCTTTGCAGAAATATGTCTGAATATTCTCATTCATCCAGGTCATTCTGTAAAAAAAAAAAAAAAGTCTGGACTTGCAGTAATTTTCTTGAAGTTTCACTGGTCATACGACTAGCTTTTTCTCAATTGAGAAAGCTAGTCGGATGACCAGTGAAGTGTCTTGATTTGTTTTGTTTTTTACTTGACATTTGTATGGGTAGCAGTCAGGAGACTGGATAATGAGCTATACTGGTGCCTGGACTAAAACAATGGAAATTGGCCGTTCTTTGAGTATTTCTTTTATGCTCATGCTGTTTGAAGGATTAGTCCCTCAAAAACTGATATTTCAGCTCTAGATTTCAAATTACATTCTGTACAGATAATGGTCTAAATCACTCACTTGCTTTGTGAGATCTTACTACTATTATTTCTGTCCTGTATGGGCTGCTACTGCCGACATCTCCTTCTGAATATGCATGCTGCCTGTCATGCTGATCCACTGATCTTGAAGATTGCACTTTCTCTGGCTATCATTTGCTGTATGCTAGTGTAGAGTCAGCAATTTAGAATTGTAAAAAACACACAGCCCAGAAACTAGGTCATTAATAGCATTCCCTATATTGCTCTGCATAACAGGGTTATGTTAACTAATGGGGCAGCTTTGGGGAAATGTCTACCCCCCCTTCTAAGTCAACAGAGATAAGGAGCTTTGCAGTTCCCCCAGCAGTGTCTTCTTCGTACATGCTGATTGCCTTTCTAAAGAAGATTCTGTGCTTATGTCAGTGAGAAAAACAAAACCTAGAATTTTGTGATTTGAGATGGATCCTTACATTTGAGTTGCAAGTTTCATTTTACACATTCTCCAAAATGCTGACGGATCATTTTGATTGGCTATTGCCTATATCACAGGCTGCCGTATTAGTGATAGAATGACAGCAGTTATAAAGCACTTGTAATTTGATTTCAGTGCAACCCCAGGCCAAACATTTGGGTTGTTTGGATAGAGCATGGAAGAGTAGAAACCTCTGTCAAGTTTTTGTTTCTATTTGTGCACTTAGTGGGGAAATGTTCCATCACTTCCATCTCTGTAGTGTGCTAACACACGTTCTGTTGCTTATTGTGATGCGCTGCAACACGGGAGGGGGGGTGCAATTCCCAAAGAATGATACCAATGCACAATAACGTGTGCTGCAGTAACTCGTTACCACAATGCAACTCTGTGAATCAGGCCTTGGCATAGGCAAAAACTGAAATATAAGTTTTAACTATTACAAAAGACATCCAATTCCACAGGTCCGACACCTGGAGCCTGTGTTATGCTGGGTACTCCTCAGCCGAGCCACTGTGTTATGGTGGGGATTCCTCAGCCGAGCCAGTGTGTTATATTGGGTACTCCTCAGCCGAGCCACTGTGTTATGGTGGGGATTCCTCAGCCGAGCCAGTGTGTTATATTGGGTACTCCTCAGCCGAGCCACTGTGTTATGGTGGGGATTCCTCAGCCGAGCCAGTGTGTTATATTGGGTACTCCTCAGCCGAGCCACTGTGTTATGGTGGGGATTCCTCAGCCGAGCCAGTGTGTTATATTGGGTACTCCTCAGCCGAGCCACTGTGTTATGGTGGGGATTCCTCAGCCGAGCCAGTGTGTTATATTGGGTACTCCTCAGCCGAGCCACTGTGTTATGGTGGGGATTCCTCAGCCGAGCCAGTGTGTTATATTGGGTACTCCTCAGCCGAGCCACTGTGTTATGGTGGGGATTCCTCAGCCGAGCCAGTGTGTTATATTGGGTACTCCTCAGCCGAGCCACTGTGTTATGGTGGGGATTCCTCAGCCGAGCCAGTGTGTTATATTGGGTACTCCTCAGCCGAGCCACTGTGTTATGGTGGGGATTCCTCAGCCGAGCCAGTGTGTTATATTGGGTACTCCTCAGCCGAGCCACTGTGTTATGGTGGGGATTCCTCAGCCGAGCCAGTGTGTTATATTGGGTACTCCTCAGCCGAGCCACTGTGTTATGGTGGGGATTCCTCAGCCGAGCCAGTGTGTTATATTGGGTACTCCTCAGCCGAGCCACTGTGTTATGGTGGGGATTCCTCAGCCGAGCCAGTGTGTTATATTGGGTACTCCTCAGCCGAGCCACTGTGTTATGGTGGGGATTCCTCAGCCGAGCCAGTGTGTTATATTGGGTACTCCTCAGCCGAGCCACTGTGTTATGGTGGGGATTCCTCAGCCGAGCCAGTGTGTTATATTGGGTACTCCTCAGCCGAGCCACTGTGTTATGGTGGGGATTCCTCAGCCGAGCCAGTGTGTTATATTGGGTACTCCTCAGCCGAGCCACTGTGTTATGGTGGGGATTCCTCAGCCGAGCCAGTGTGTTATATTGGGTACTCCTCAGCCGAGCCACTGTGTTATGGTGGGGATTCCTCAGCCGAGCCAGTGTGTTATATTGGGTACTCCTCAGCCGAGCCACTGTGTTATGGTGGGGATTCCTCAGCCGAGCCAGTGTGTTATATTGGGTACTCCTCAGCCGAGCCACTGTGTTATGGTGGGGATTCCTCAGCCGAGCCAGTGTGTTATATTGGGTACTCCTCAGCCGAGCCACTGTGTTATGGTGGGGATTCCTCAGCCGAGCCAGTGTGTTATGGTGGGTACTCCTCAGCCGAGCCAGTGTTTTATGCATCATCCATTTAGTTCTTTATAGGTGTATCTGTTTGTCCTCCAAATCAAACTGATTAATTTTTATATCTGCTCCAACATTTGACCCACCCCTACTGATAGGTCATCCATATATCCTGATAGCGCGGCAACCAAAAAGTCAAGTTTGCTATTTAGTGCTGTTATTGGAACTGCTGCCTTCTGTTAAAATTGCATTATTTTGTTTCAGTTGTAATATTATTTTTCAGTTAAGAGAATAAACACAGTTTTGTTAAATCCTGTAGTGTTGAATTCATTGAAACAATATGGTAAGATGAGGCCAAAATGTTGTCAAAGGGTCTGATTTACAAAAACTGTTTTCGAAAGTGGGACAGTTGTCCATAGCAATTGTCTAACTTCCTGGCTTTATTAAGAATATGGAACCTGTTTGGTTGCTGTTCCTTTTTGTCTTTTAGCCATTCCTACAATGAATCAGAATGCTTCAGCAGTTATTAGAGCAAAGATGAGAAAAAAAATACAGAGACTTCTCAAGTCACTTTGTAATCACTTTGTTTTGCTCTGGGTAACGCAACATCCTTTCAGACAATTGGAAAAAGTGGACTAAATGAGAACATGGGCTGGAGTGCAGTTGATCATCTCTGCCAGTTATTTTTGGTTTCTTTCCTTTGGAATAGCTGATAATGTGCAAATTATTAGCTTGCTGACTTGAATCCCTAATAATAGTTCTTGTGTGTGCTGCTCAGTTCATGTATCGGAGAGAACCTCAGCAGCTTCTATCTGATTGCCTTTGTGCTGTTAAATAACTCAGTATAGTGCTTATACAGAACAGGAGCTTTCATTACTAAGGTCTTGGTGCTATAAGTACACATTGTTGGGTGTAACAAGTACTAAGCAGCAGGTAATGGATAAGATACAGTTAGGCTCATGAGGTATGGTTTTGGGGTAAATGCTATGTAGATCTCTTTTGAAAATTTTTTTTTTTTTTTTTAAATGTTTTGGGTTGAATGGGAAAGATGTAAACTTAAACCTGACAGATGTTCGGTTTCCTCACTCGGGAGATTTCACCTGTTCCTGTTACAAAAAAGGACGTTAGAGACAACCCCCCTTCCCCATGTGAAGGAGAAATCACATTTTTCATAGATGTCAGTGTAGTGTGTTACAATTTCAGTGACATTTTAGATTTCCCATCACTTTGTGTCCTGGAGACAGTTACTAACAGTAAGTTAGAATAAATGCCCTCAGTGCTGTGACACAGTAATCCATGAGCGCTTCTAACACTTCCAGCTTCTACCCAAAACTAGAAAAACAATCTTTAAATCATTTTATTGGAGTATATTAAGGGTTACATGATAAAGTAATTCTGGTACATTGGGATATCTAAAACAGAGTCTAACTTAGGACAAACCCTGCAAACAAAAAAATGTGAATAGGCCTATGAGAACCTACAGGTTATGAAGGATATTTAATATAGACTATAGAGCTGCCTGGAGAATGTTGTGACTTTGGGATCAGATGGGGCCTGAGCATCCACTTGGTGAAACTTAACGAACAGAAGACCAGGTGGGAGCCTTGCAAATCTGAGAAAATGATGCATGATGCTAAAAGGCCCGTGAAGCTCTAACTTATCTAAAAGACTTGACTGGCAAATTTTAGAACCTTGTCCTTCGTTGCTTTAGGCATGAATGATCTGTTGAATCCACTTGCAGATAGTGGAACAAGACTGAAGCTGTCCCTTATGGGGGACCCTCAAGAATGACGGTCAGACCTGTTTTAAAGAAACAGTACCTCCAACAACACACACCCATTCTGGATATCAACGCAGTAGCGTAGTGCCACAGCCATGAGCTCCAGTTGCAGGACAGAA